TTCCCTTTTTTGCTCACAAACTTTATATACTTCAAGAGCGACTTAAGAGTAAAATCAATCACCACTCGCCATCAATAAGCTGTTCAGTTGACATCGAAACTACTGAAAAAAACCTTGGCAGTAGTCAACCGAGTTCAATTGTTCCAGCCATACTATTGTCTTGGATTAGACAGGATGAGTTCTTTGGTAACTGATCGTATGATATTTCGCGATATTGGTTTTTGACCAAATCTAAAAAACGATAACTAATCGATAACTAACGATAACTGATGAAAAGCTCACAAAAAAAAACTCAAGGGTCACGCCATCGATTGTATAGTTCCAAACAAAAGGGGTGATGATCCGAAGGTTTTTGTCCCAAAATGCCCTTTTCACGACCATATCACTGATTATCATTCTGTATCACAATTTACCAACTTCTCACCCTCTGAGAATCTAGAGCGAAAAATGGGTTATGAAAATAAATAAATATAAATGTGGGTCATAATATGTAGCAATAATTAAAAATGAATGTGAGAACTTCCTTTTCAACCATCATGCAATAAAACGCATATAGGAGAACCAATCGACCAAATCATAAGGCATTTCGCATAATTAGAAGTCAGCTGAACTTCGCATGTATCAGCTCTATAGGTTGTAAAAAGTAGACATCTTTGTTATATGATTCTTCTGCAAAGTGAAGATGAAGCATCCAGGAACTGTTGATTTTCATGTTTTTCACAGGTGCCCATTGTTTATTTTATACAGTCATGTACCACATGTGAGTTACTCGCTTACTTGTTCGAATCCTCACTGTAAGAGTTTGTCTTTCAAATAGGTGAGCTTACTGGTAGTCTTGTAGTAGAAGTAATTCGGCATATCCACACTACTTTCACATTCTCGAGACTACGGGATAAGGGGAGGTGATCGCTCTGTTCAGAGGATTGGAGAGGGAGAGAAGGGAGAAGGTGGAGGGGAAAGTGGGCGTTGTAGAAGAGAAAGGGAACGGGATTCCTGAACTCTTTTCGTGGTAATCTTTACTCTTTCATCGAATAAGGCCGAATAACAGAGAAAATAAAACGATCTTCTAAAAGAGTTCATCGAAGCGATGACATGCGTAATTGGTTTTGACACGACGATGCTCGCACCCGTACTCACCTTCTTTTTTCACGCTTTGTAACAAATTCGATGAACCGTAGAAACGTAGAAATGCGAACAAACACAAAAGTAGGAGGAGAGAAGTAAAACGTAATCACTCAAAAACACAGTTGTCATCCTCATCTCTAGGCCGACTTTGTGAGAACTACTACACCAACAGATCTGTCAGAGTTGAGTCAATCGACCGGCTCTCAAACTTATTCGATCTAGGTGGCATAGAGATTTACTTTGAGGGGTGAATTCAGGGGTTTTCTCTCATCGTTCTGGATACTTCGAACAGGAAAAGTGGTCCAGACGGCAATAAAACTCCTAAAGTCCTTTGCTGTTCATGCTGACTCAACCACGTTGACGTTTCTATTCGCCTACTACTGACTTCTGTAGGAAACGTGTAGGTGAACTCCACTCCAAACGGTTTCATTGGTGCTAGAATATCACGACCACATCGAGGAGAATCAGTCGAGTCGGTTCTGTACACAGCAGGGGCATAACCGACCTATTACTTTACTTTACGAAGCAGTAAAAGCCCCTCATTAAGGTGTCTTGTACGGGGAACTCTTGAAGGGTTCAACTCTTACTTCAACTGTTGAAGTGGTGAACTGACCGAAACCATACGGAATCGCAAAAAAGACTGAAAAACCGGTTCACTCACCCGAACAACGCCTACGATTTTCAAGGGAGAAGAGTCACAATCCCAATCAAGCACTCGGGGATACAACTGCTCTACGCTTTTATTCAAGTTTGTGGGGACGCTTGATTGACTAATTGATTCAGAAAAAGAGTTGCGGAGGCTGTAAACTGGGGATGTGTCATCAACAAAGCCTCACACAAAGGACCCTACATCAGTTTTCGGGGTAGTAACGGGCGGATCCCGTTCCCATCACCACCGAACATTCCCAATGTTATTTTTTGAGAAGGAACTGCCTGGGCGGTAAGTAATCCAGGAGTTTGAGCATGGCATAACGCCTACGTACCTGATGACACTCCCAACCAATTTCAGTTTAAAGTCAGCTTTCACATCAGACATGCTTTCATTTCGAAACCGCTGACACCTTTCGGTTCATTTACAAATGAGTTCTGCTTACTCATCTGGGAACTTTACAACGTTACAATATGACCCACAACCCTTTAAAATCAGCTTCGTAACCATTCCATTGACTCCTGATGCGCTTTCACATTTTCCACGCTTTTACCAATCTATTCCGATGCTTAACGTGTAAGTAATTTAATACTTGTTTTCCATTTACTTTGATTATGTGGTTTTACTTTGTATGGAATTTACAAGAGTTTTAGATGCGCATAATTCTAGTCCTCCTCCTAGGAAGGACAAGTTTTTTTCGATAAAAATAATTTTATTTTTTGAACAAGTATTCAAATGATGCTACGTTCCTGAAATTAGATGGGAAGGGGCGTGGTCAAAATTCGCGTGAGGTGGGGCGTGTTTGAGCATAACGTGACATATTTTTCGGAATGTTCTTGTTTGAGAAGAATAACAATCTTTCTATTGTCAAATTTTTTAAATGTTGCTTTTAGGGTTTTTTGAGTAAAATAATCCACTTTATTTACTTCTTCAGTTAAGTTGGCAACTGCTGGAAAAGTGATTCAATTTTTTCAGGTGGTTTTTCTGGCGAAACGGGATGGGGCAATCAAAGGTTCGGGAACAATCAGTGGGACCAGCAGAGGCATGTATCACGAAGACCCGAGTTTGGTTTTGATATTCCTGAGCCTCCTCCACAGTTTGGTCGTCCACCACCTCCACCCCCACCCGGACCTCCACCTCCACCCGGACCTCCACCTCCACCTGGACCACCACCTCCACCTGGATTTCCACCTCCACCTGGACCTCCACCACCAGGTCCTCCACCACCACCGGGTCCTCCACGTCCAGTGAGTTATATTTGACAGAATTGATAAAAGTGTGCTTCATAGCTCATCGTGTTTCAGAGAGATCGGTTCGGGTTGGAAAGGATAATAGGGGAGGTCAGTAACATCGCAGCCGACATAGCAGCTAACAATGGAGCAGGAGAGGATGTAATTCAGAGCTTCCGAGTGAGTAAATCTTTTATCTTGTAGAAAATGGTCCTATCTTTGTAACAGATATCGATCAGAATCGGATCAATCGTTAAATCGATAATTTCCCGCTAAAATTCGAATTACGATCGCGGAATTCGAAGTGAAACTGTTCGATACAAATTGAATGGAGGACTATCGCTAGAATAAAGAACTGGTAGCCAAACTAGTAAAGGCTTCCTAGAGTGCTCACACTCGCGTATATTCATGAGGAAGCATGACGGACTCCGACGGCAGTTTGTCAAGGATTCTCTGCAGAGCATTCGAAAGACTTCTTTGACAGGGTTCAAGTAGAACTAAACTCAATTCGCGATATTAACCTAACAGATCTATATCTGAACATTGCTGTGACTTGAGACTTTAGCGCAAAGCACCGTTCAACAACAACAATCAGCAAAATGGCGACTTTTCCAGACCATTCCAGAAGTTAAGAATTACCTAGCACAAATGCGCTTTGAACATTTGCTTGCTAGGTAACATATTCTAACTGAGCAGGTTCCAGATGTGGAGCCATGGACCACCACCTCCAGATGACGTGTGGCAAAGGAGAGCACGACGATTCTGTCGACGATTTCCGGGACACCCTAAATGCAGGTAAATTTTCGGAATATTCCCTGTCTAGGGCCGATTGGTGTAATGGCAACGTAAGCATTGTAGTCCATACATGGTTCGGGGATCGGACCTAGGTTGATACATGTCAAAGTAAACCAAGCCTCAATCCCTTCGAGGTCAGCTGGTCACCAGTTCGAACCTCAGATCCATATCCGCCCAGACCAACCAAGCCTTACTTCCCTCGGTCGGTTAATTGGTACCTTTTTCG